CAGAGAAAGAATCCAAGTTTTAATACTTTGGTGCTTGCAGCCAAAATAGCTGGCCTTTAAGTTCAGTCGGGACCAAGCACCCAATTTTTCCTGGACCCACCCCCACCCACCCAAACCACGGGGGTCTCTCCCAGAGAAGCAAGCCGGATTGACTGAAGGAGGGGATAGAAGGCACCAGATGTTGGGATCTGCAGAGGAAAGCCATGGATGGGGGAATATATAGATCGGTGTCAAACTCAAGCCCGCAGGGCCGGCTTGGACGTAGCAAAGGGCCAGTCCACAGGGCCTCTAGCAGCCAAAACAGGGCATGCGGGGGGGGGGGGGGTACAAGCCCCCCCCCCGTTTTTGACCTGGGCAGCCTCCTGCAGGACCCTGCTGGCCAAAATGGTGTAGGAAGTTAGCACCCAGCCCTCTCCTAGACAATTGAAATAGCCTAGGAAATATTAAAAAGGGCAGAATATTTCTCCTAAAAAGAGTAGAAACTCGGAAGCAGAAACTCACCTCAGAAGCAGAAACTCGCCCCCACCTTTGTTTATTGGGTGGGCCATTAAGGCCTGGGCCAGAATACTTTACATAACAAAGATCTCCAGGTAAAACCATAGCAATTGCTCAAAAGCCCTTTCAGTGCATCATCATCCAGCAAGGCTCAGCCAAGCCTGGAACTCAGGACAACCTACAGAGTTGCTCCTGCATGGCCTCATGGGAGTCTGACATCCAATCAGAATACAAGCTCCAGTTCAAATCCCAACAAAGGTTATAAAACCCAGGCACTCTCAGCACCTCCGCTCTTCTTGACCTTCTCTTCTCACTTTGAAGCATGCGATCATCCTTTTCACTTTGGAGCTTCAAGCCATGTGGTCTTGCTGTCCAACATTAAACCACTTTTCCCAACAGCCTCCATGTTTCCAGTGTCTTTTTCCCCACTTGGAACTGAACCCAGAAGGATATTTCTTTTAACAACAGGGCACGGGGGACCCATGTGAGGATTTGGCCAGCAGGGTGCTGCTGTTCTAGCAAAAACGGTATGGGGGGGGGTCTCATGCAGCCCACCCATGCCCCATTTTGGCCGGCAGGGTGCTCCAGCCCGCAAAGGAGAACTACAATGCTGATCCGTCCCTTGAAGCAATCCAGTTTTGACACCCGTGGTATATAGATGGTTTACACCCTTGTGCATGCATGCTCTGGACCGTTTGAGAGGATGGGGGTCTTTTTAGGGGGTGGGGTGGTGGGTGGTGAAAGATGGACTGGGGCCTTAAAGCCTTGCAAAATGTGATTCCTTTGGTTCACACACACACACACACACACACACAAGCCCCAACGCCAAACGTTGGCATCCGAAAAACAATCTAGGAGGCAGGAACAAAGAAAAATAGGATGATAATTCTCATTCTCCAAAGCCTTGCCCAGGGAAGAAGAAAAATGGGGAGGGGAAATTCGGGGAGTGGGGGGGGCAGGGTTGTGTGAAGGATGAAAAGAAAGAAGACACGGCAAGGGAGCGAAAGCAAAACAGATGTCTGGAAGCAGGGAAAAGGACAGGGTCACAGCTGCAGATATTCCTTGGGGGCCAGTCGAGCATCTTGTGGTTCTGGAGCAAGGGGAAGGAGGGACAACAAACCACGATCTTAGTGGGGGGTGGGGGAGGTTAGAAAATGAAAGAGACCAGGATCTTAGAGGAGAAATATTATCCGTTCTTGCTCAGCCCCTTTCCTTTGTACAATTTGCCCCCTTGGCCTGCGTGTGTTTTTTGTGTATCTAAGAGTAGTGAACTGCCTCCATCCTTTGACCAGGTTATGTGGAAGACCGCTGCCATCTATCTGCCAAGAAGGGAACAACCACATCTGATAAATCCTGGCGAAGGTCTTTTTATTTCCATTTGGGGGAAGAGAAACCTTCCGTAAATCATCATCTGTCATTGTGGTGTTAAGCCAGATTGTGCGCGTGCAAATCCTAGCCGGAAAGCTCTGTCGTGTGCATCAATCACACCTCTCGATTCTTTGTAAGAGCAGAGCGGGAAAAGGGAAAGGGAAAAAGAGACGCAGACGCCCCCACAAAAGCTCTTTAAGAAGGGAGAAAATAGAAGTTAAGAAAGGAAAAAGGGTTTATTTATTTAACTTTGGAGGAAAGAAAGGGGGGAATGTTTGCAAGCTAATTCCAACCCCAGCGCAAATCTTTTCAGTTTAGCCCTTGCGTTAAGACATTCAGCTATATTTGGATCTTATTGGAACATTAAAGATAATCGTGTTTATGTAAGTTTCTAAACAGTCTTAAGACATCAAGCCAGTTTTCCAGCTAAGGTTTTTGAAGCCTATTTTTCCACCGCTACAGGGTCTTTATTAACGCCGTGGCCTAATTTTAAGAGTCCTGATTTTAAAATTTCCTTTTCTTTTCAGATATTTTTTCCAGCCTTTAATTTCCTTTGCAGGTGAATTCTCAAGTCTCATGAAAGAAGGCAAATATAGGCAGTCCTCGACTTACAATGGAGCCCAACATTTCTGTGGTTAAGAGTTTTGCTGCATTTTACGACCTTTCTGGCCACGATTGTTAAGTGAATTGCTGTTATTGGTTAATAACCCCGCCGTTAAGTGAATCCGGCTTTCCCACTGACTTTGTCAGGTCGCACAAAGAGGACCACGTAACATTGGGACACAACCACGGTCGTATGAACCAGTTGCCAAGCATCTGAATTTTGATCACATGAACATGGGAGGTTGCAAAGGTCGTAACAGTGAAAAACGGTCATTAAGTCACATTTTTCAGCACCGTTGTAACTTTGAAGTCACTAAACGAACCATTGTTAAGTCGAAGACTCCCTATATTTATATGGTGCCTGTTGTGTGGTGTTTCTTTTTTAGTTGCTGAGTGGGTGTTGAAGACTGTTGTTTGTTGCGGATCCTAAGTATAAGCCGGTCGGTGGACAAAGGGCTGTTTCCAACGCTTCAATTGTTTCCCTGGCTGTTTTTGTCCCTGCTCGGCCAACAATCTAAGCAGCTTCAAAACAGAATAGCCCAAAGCACACTGCTAGAGCGAAGTTCCCAGGATGGGCCAGGACGGATCCAAAAGCTGAGAAGACTAAACCTCAGCTCCCAATGAACGATTCAGATTGGATCCCGAAAATCTTATTTCTTCTGCTTTGCTTAATGTTGGTTTCGCTGAAAATAGGATGGGTAGGTGTAGTTGCATCTGCTGAATTCTGTACTCTGTGCTCTGTATTTCGGTAAACTCTGGAATTCGTGACAGCCGGTGGAATCCCAAAGACGCTTTTTTCAAGAGGAAATTGTGTTTTTTTTTTTTTTAAAAAAAAGATGTTTCGCTTCTCCTCCAAGAAGCTTCTTCGGCTCTGACTGGATGGTAGAGAATGAAAAGATTTTTATTCCTTGCAGACAATCCTTCCATTCCCCACTATCCATTCAGAGCCGAGGAAGCCTCTTGGAGGAGAAGTGAAATGTCTCCAAGGAAAAACCAGAAAGTCCAGTTGCCGCTTGAAAAAAAAGCACCTTTGGGACACTTGGATGGCCGAGAATCTCCATAACACATTCAGCTGGTGGAGCTATTTTGCAGTTAAAAAAAGGCCTGATGTGAAGGAAGATGTTCTCATTTGGTGGGCTGGTTCTCAGATCTCAACAGGAAAACAGAAGAAAAACGTTTTGATCCATTTTATTTTGCAGTTTTAATATTTTATAGGTTGTTTTATCTTTGGATTGGGAGCCGCCCAGAGTTGGTTAGAAGAGGGACGGCTTTAGAAATGTTTTAAATAAATATATGAAATATAATACATAGAAATTCCGTTGCTCCTTGCAATCAGTGTTCTTTCTCAAGGGCCCTTTTCTGCATTAATACCAGCCATTCAGTTGGGGTCCTGGGTGCTCTCTGAGCTTGGCCGGTTTCCTGCGGGCATTTCGTGACCCAACTAGGTAACATCATCAGTTCTAGAAGAGAATGGGGTTTGCTCTCCGTTTATATGCTAGTAGCTTGGCCTGTTAGTGTTAGAGGGTGTTCTTGGTGGCTCCTTGGTTAGGCTTGATTGTTTACTCTTTGACTGTTTGTGTGAGTTGGCAGTTCCTCGATTGGGATTTTGTTTATCAAACCCCACTCCCTGATGATGTTACCTAGGCGGGTCACAAAACATCTGCAAAAAACCCTGCACGCTCAAAGAGCACGGAAGACCCCATAATCATCCTCCTCCTCAACTTTGCAAACCTCATTCCCTTCCTAGTACTGATGATGTTTCCTAACTGAGTCATGAAACGTCTCCAAGAAAACCACCAAATTCAGGGAGCATCACGGACCCCACATTCCTCCTCCATTCCTCACACCCCAGTCTCTTCTAACACTGATAATGTTACCTAGTTTGGTAATGAAACATCTGCAGGAAAAACTCCAAGTTCAGAGAGCACCAAGGACCCCACACTCATTCTCCTCCTCCTCCTCCACTCCACATACCTCACTCCCTTCTAGCACTGATGATGTTACCTAGCTGGGTTACAAAATGTCTCCAAGAAAACAACCCAGTTCACGGACCCTCAAAGACCCCACAGTTCTTCCCCCCACATCCTCCACTCCACACACCCGTCTCTTCTAGCACTGATGTTGCCTAGTTTGGTAATGAAACATCTGCAGGAAAACCACCAAGCTCTGAATGCACCAAGGACCCCTCAGGTCAACCCTGATCACAAATATTCTATAGGTACACCATTTTTTCCTATGGAATATTTGTAGTTCACGGCTGAACTGTGGGGTTTTTGATGCTCTCTGACTTCGGTGGTTTTTCTGCTGGCTTGGGAACAAATTCTACCATCACAAGTTGCTAAGGGGTGTGTGTCTCCCTTCTCCTTTGGGCAAACGCACAAGAGCCCTATGCACCAGGGCAGGATTCAAGCATCTTTGCAAGAGGATAGCAAACTATTTTCCCCACAATGGCGGCGGCGGCAGGGGGGCGGGGCCTCACCATTTTTCGCACACTCCCCCAAAGAAGCAGGACAGCAGCTTTAAAACTAACACCATCTCTTTTATTATGCTCTCTTTCCTGTATTATCAGCAGAATAATAAAAAAAAAAATTTCCCAAAATAAAATACAAATCAACGGGAAGGACACTGGCTCCAGAAGAGGGGAGCAGGAGGTGTCGGAAATCAAACTTATCCCCACGTTTGGGGGGGGAAGGGGGAGAGCCCTACCACTTCGGCCACTCTCCAGCCACGCTGGACCCCTCGCGGCCTTTCCAGTGGTGGGCAAAAAACTCCATGCCCCCTCCTTGTTCCTCCTTGACTGCAAAATTCAGGAGCTCGATTCAGGGAAAGTGCCCCCCCCCACCAACTCCTTCCCCTGCCCCGAAGGTCAAAAGAAAGGCTGAGGAATAGCTCAGTGGCGCCCCCCTCTGTCCTGTACAGGCGTGCTCCGACTCCGACTCCGGCTGTGGCGGCTTTTGGCTTCACGCCGTTCGCGGTCTCCTCGGCCGCTGCGTTCGCCCGCTCGACTGGCCCCACCACCGCTGGTGGCATTGGGGCGCTCGCGTTCTCGCTCTCTGCTGTGTTCCCGCCGCTTATCCCGCTCAGCTTGACGGTTGCGTTCCCGCTGACGGGCTTCCTCAGCTTCCAGTTCTTTGCGCCGGCGTTCCCGTTCACGCGCGCGAGCCGCTCGCTCGGCCTGTTTCTGGACACACTGCGAGGAGAGAAGCAGGAGGGGAAGAGCAACTGTTGAAGCATGGCTGCATCCCGGGCAGTTTGTCATGGGCAAGTGACTTCAACATTTCGGTTGCTAAGTGAGACAGTTGTTAAGTGAATCGCTGCAGGGAGTCCTTGGTTTAAAACTGTTCATTTAATGAAGCTATAATGAGTGGCCTAGAGGTGGAGCTCTTGCCTTCCAATCAGGTGGCTGTGAGTTTGATCCTAGGTAGAGGCGGATAGGTCTCTCTCTGGGCACAATGAGAATATAACTGCTGAACAAAAACTCCACATTGGTGACAGGAAGGGCATCCGGCCAGTAAACACTCAGCTCCAAGAGATTATCATTAAAATATGATTTAATGAAGCTATAACACAACTGAAAAAAGCGATTTGTGACCGCTTTGCACACCTATGACCGTTACAGCATGCCCCGCAGTCACGTGATCAAAATTCAGCTGCTTGGCAACTGACTCATATTTATGACAGCTGCAGTGTCCCGGAGTTATATGATCCCCTTTTGTTAAAGGGGAAGCCAGATTCACTCAACAACTGGGTTGACAACTGCAGTGACTCATTTAACAGCTCTGGCAAAGGAGGTCATAAAACGGAGCAAAACTCACTTAACAGCTGTCTCGTTTAGCCACAGAAATTTTGGGCTCAAGCATGCCTGTAAGTTGAGGACTACCTATAACACAGTTGTTAAGAAAATCTGGCTTCCCCATTGATTTTGCTCATCGGAAGATCGCAAAAGGACCCCAGGACATTGCAACCGTTGTAAATGCAAGTCAGTTGCCAAGGGTCTGAATTTTGATCACACGGCCATGCTGCAGTAGTCGCTAGGTATGAAAAATGGTCGTAAAGTCACATTTTTCAGTGTCGTTGTAACTTCAAATGCTGACTAAATGAATGTGTTGTAAGCAGAGAACTACTTAGGCACGAAATACTACTCCAAATATTGGAAGTTTCTGGGTCAGGCAAAAAAAAAAAAAGCCCAGTCATCAAATCGGCTTTCTTCTTCTTCCTCCTAGTGACTGGAAATCAGGAAGAATCTGGGAACATTTTTATTAAAATTGCCGCTTGCCATTTCATTAAATTGCTGCTTGCAAAAGAGCTTCTAAAGTGTCTTTTGTCGGAATATGCGCTCTGAGACGCCTTCTGCTTTTTTATAACCATCGACAATCACAATTTTCTTCTCTCAAAATCCTGTGACGAGAAATACAGGCGGTCCTCGACATACAACAGTTCATTTAATGACCACTGGAAGTTACGACAGCACTGGAAAAAGTGACTTACGACCTGTTTTCCACACTTACGACCACTGCAGCATCCCCGCATGGGATCAAAATTCAGACGTTTGGCAACTGACTCATGTTTATGACTGTTGCGGTGTCTCGGGGGTCGTGCGATCCCCTTTTGCGACACTCTGACAAAGTCAACGGGGAAACCCGATTCACTGAACAACCAGATTCCTAACTGAACTGCTGCAGTGACTGGCTTAATACGGCAGAAAGACAGGTCGGATAAATTGGGCAGGATTCAGTTAAAAAACCGTCTCACTTAGCAACGAAAGCTCAACGGTGGCCGTAAGTCGACAACTGTATTTTGAGTGTACCTTCTCATCCTCAGGGCTAAAGAAACCAAGAAACCACATCTTCAGACAACCACGTTACCCCGGCTGCTGCTCATCCCGTCTCACTTGAATCAATGGTGGTATTCTACCGGTTTGGCCGGACCGGTTGCTCTGACGATCAGCTGCTGGGCCCTCCCATCCACCCCTGCTCTATACTGACCGTTATTTCCCGCTTTACAACCTCAGCTGCTTCGCGCGGCACACCCGATTGCCATGCACCCGACTGCACTTGGAGCAGAAGGTGAGGTTTAAACGCTACACACCGAACCGGTAGGAGAAAGTTTTGAAACCCACTACTGACCTGAATGTCCGTGAGGGGTAACCAATAAATGCACGGGGCTGCCTTGGTTTTGCGGAACAGATCGTCCAGAAGTTTAGCCGGAGGTTCCTCCTGGGCCTTTTCTGTTGGGGAGGAAAGTAAGAAGGTTGATTGTTATCTGAAAAGCATAATCCTTGGTTAAACGGGGCTGGTTAAACCTACATGAGACCCCCAGCAATATTATCCCTACATTCACAGCAGAAGTCCCCCAAAGTGCTTTCCCAAAAAGCAACGGGACTTTTCTTGAGGTTTGGTTCTTTCTGGAAAACATTTCGCTTCGACTACAAGAGGCAGCTTTCTGAAGAACGGAAGAATCTTCTGGGAGGAGAAGCAAAACGTTTTCAAGAGGGGAGGAAAAAAACAAAAAAAAAACAAAAGCAAGGATGTTGGGTTGTCGTTTGGAAAAGCAGCTCTGGGACAACCATGGCCTGGGTAACGGAGAATCTCTATGGACATTCGTAGCGGAAAGGCCACGTTGAAATAAAACTGGGCTTCAAACTTAAGAGCTGAAACTCCAACTAGGCGACCGTGTTCTCTCGGGTTGGGGTGGGGGTAGGGTGGGGGAATGCCCAAACTTCCCTCCAGCTGGGAACAGGCGAATTTGCTTTACTTGTTTAGATTCTGTCTTTGCTATTTTTACAAACAACTCCCTCCAGGTGGCAAATATATTTAACACGGCTTCCCCTTTTCCTGTTTTCCCAACAACCCTGTGACATGGGTTGGGCTGAGAGGGAAGAACCGGCCCAAAGAGATCCTGCCAGCTTTCACGGACTAGAAGGCGGGACTAGAACTCCCAGTCTCCTTGTGATTGGCCCAAAGTCACCCAGCTGAGTTACCATGCCTCAGGCGGGACTAGAATTCCCACTCTCCTGGTGATTGGACAAAAGTCACCCAGCTGGCTTTCATGCCCGAGACGGTGCAAGAATTCCCACTGCCATTGATTGGCCCAAAGTCTCCCAGCTGGCTTTCGTGCCTAAGGCGGGACTAGAACTCACCGTCTCCTGGAGATTGGCCCAAAGTCCCCCAAGTGGCTTTCACGCCTAAGGCAGGACTAGAACTCACCGTCTCCTGGTGATTGGCCCAAGGTTACCCAGTCAGCATTCACAGCTAAGGTGAGATTAGAACTCCTGGTTGCCCAGTTTTTACTCTTGTGCCTTAACCACTAGACCAAGCTCTCTCTCATTACCTTTCTTCTCTGCTTTCTTCTCCTTTGATTTGGGCCGCTCCTTGCGGCGTCTCTCTCGGGACCGGGAGCGCGAACGGGGCCCCTCGCGCACCTTGTCCCGATCCCACTCCCGCTCCGCCAGGGTCCTCTCCCGGCGCTCCATCTCTCGCTCCCGTTCGGCCCACTGCTCCCGCACGGCCGCCTCCCGCTCCCGTGCCTCCGAGCGCCGGGACAGCTCCCGTTCCCCCCGCGTGGTTGGGCCCACCCCAGGGAAGGTGGGCGCTTCATCGGCCTTGGCCTCGGCCGGACGGTCAACCAGAAGACCGCGATGGAAATCCAGCTAAGGAAGAGAAAGGAATAGCCTCAGGTAAGCAGGTGGAAGCTCTCTGGGATACAAAATCTCGCGAGAAAGCGAAGAGACATTATCTTGTGGCATCATTTTACAGGTAGTCCTCGATTTATGACCAGTAAGTGAATCTGGTTCCCCCCCCCCGACTTTGTTCGTCAGAAGGTCTCAAATGGTATCACATGACCACCAGGACCTGCAACCGTCATAAATGTGAGTCAGTTGCCAAGCCCCTGAATGTAAATCACGCAACCGTGGGTTGCTACGATGGTCATAAGCATGAAAAAGTGGTCACTGTCACTTTTCTTCAGTGCCATTGTTTTGAATGGTCACTAAATGTAAGTTGGGGACTACCGGTATTGCTAACAGCCAGAGAGAAGCGTCTCCTGAAAAAACACATACCATTTCTGGAGCAAGTATTCCTGTTTCACTTTCTTGCACCAAACTCTGGGTGCACGGGGGCAGAGATCCCCCTCCCTACCCGTCCCACGTCTTTCTTCCCCGTTGGGCTCCGTACCTCATCCTGCTCCACAAAATCAGCGGATAAAAACTTGGGGTTAGACTGCGGCCACTTGACCCCGTGGAGGGCGTTTCGCGTCGCGACGGCTTCTTCCACTGTTGAATACTGAAAGGCAATATTGGTAGAAGAGAGAGAAAAAGAGGAGAGAAAAAGGAGACAGGAGAGAAAAACAGAGAGAGAAAGAGAGAGAGATGGAGAGCAGAAAGAGAAGAGAGAAAGAAAAACAGGGCCAAAGAGAGGAGAAAGAGAAAGGGGAGAAAGAGAGTAAAAGAGGGGAGAGAGAGAAACAGGGGAGAGAGATGGGGAGAAAAAGAGAAAAAGAAAGAGAGAGTGGAGAAAAAGAGGAAAGAAAGAGAAAGAGGGGAAAGAGAGAAGGGAGAAAAAGAGAAAGAGGGGAGAAAAAGAGAGGAGAGAGAAAGGGAGGGGACAGAAAGAGAGGGGGGAGAGAAAGAGAGAGGAGAGAGAGGTGTGTTTCCAGCTATTTCTTCCCCCTGCTTTCTAAATCCTGAAGGTGTTCCTCTCAAACTGAACTAAAGAAGCTTCTTGGATGAGAAACAAAATATTTTGAAGGGGGAAAATCCCCCCAGGAAAACTCCAGCTGCCTTTTGAAAAAAAAAAAAAGCACCTTTGGGACAACCATTACCTGGGTGATGGAGAATCCCTGTAGACATTCCGGTTAAAATTCCCCCCCCCCCCCAAGCAAAACTTGTTTTAAAACACTCTCTAAATTCCCTTTAAAAAACCCAGACAGCATTTGGCATTGAAGCAAACAAGTCCAGATAATCTGGGATCCTCAGCATAGCGTGACTTTCCCCTTTTAAAAGCACCCCTGAACCGAATTGGATGGATGAGAAATGCCGATATCTTTTCTGGAAAGGAGAATTTCTGGAGAAGGAGGTAGAAACCCTCAAAGACTCACTGTCACATAGCAGTGTGATTTGATCTTGTCGATCCAAAATGACTCCTCCACCAGGGTGCCCGTCCGGCCCAGCAGCTCCTTCAGCTGCCCAAGGGTGAAGGGCCTCACCTATGCACACGAACAAACATCCGGGCGTTAAGAAAGGCCCACAATGCCCCCCCCCCAAACCTCTAAAATAGTTACAGCACCCCAAAAACACTCACCAGGTTGCAGATGTGAACGATACAGCTGACCTTGCCCCGTGGCGGGGACGGGACCTGGGCCGTGCGGACGGGATCGTCGATGGTGATGGAGACCCCGGAACGTTGCTGGCTGATGGACCGCCGGGTGAGCGTATCGCTCAGCGTGACTGTGGGGCAAAGGGAGACAGAAACCCACACAGGTGAGTCTTACCTGTCGGGGGTCAATCGCTCCCCGTCTTCTTCTTTTAAAAAAATATTTTTATTCATAAACATTTTTTGAATACAGCATTTTGTCTGGGTATATTATTTACACACACACACACACACACACACACAAAACATAGCTAATACTGTGAAAAATATTGTCCTATTTACTACTACTAATAATATAATAACACATGAATTAACAATGCTAATAATACTATGGTAGTTCCCATACAGTAAAATGCCCATTCTTTGTGTTTCATATTTTTAGTACCTATAGTGATTATAGTTATGTGCCATCCCCTGTTTTTAATAAGATGGTTCATCTCAACACATTCTAGGATTTTCCTGGTTGCCTCATCTGGTGGGGTATTCACATTTTTCCAGAATTTTACCTATCTAATCCTCGCTGCTGTCAATATATGATAAACTAAACATGCAGTTCCTTTATCATAATCCTCTGGGAATATGCCCAGCAAATATACTTCTGATTTCCAGTCTATCTTCTATATGGTTATTTTTTCCAGCCAGCTCTCTATTTTCTCCCAAAATTGTTTTGCTTTGATGCAAATCCACCACCTGTGATAGTACGTCCCTGGATTATGATGGCATTTCCAACATTTTGCGGACAAATTACTGAACATTTTTGCCAATCTTGCCAGTGGTATGTGCCACCTATAAAACATTTTGGTCCCCATCTTCTGACGGTTGCCCCCTGTCCTCCTCGGGTACCTTTTTTGACTTCATGCTCTACCGGGGGAGGCAGAACCACGGCTTCTACAGCGATAACGGGCTCCAACTCCGGCTGTTCTTCCTCGTGGACCTTCTCCTCTTCCTCCTCCTCTTCCTCCTCCTCCTCCCCTTGGCCATTCTCCTGCCCTTCGACGGGGACCACCTGGGAGGGAAGAAGGGTGGGACAGAGGTTTCTCAGCTGGAAGGGACCAGGCTGGGCTTGATAAAATGGTGGTTTTTACAGGATGAGAAATAGTGGGGGGTTTTGGGGGGTCCTTGGGACTCTCTAAGCTCGGTTGTTTTCTTTTTTAAAAAAAAATCTCAACTTTTTATTTTATTCAGAAGATTAAAATAAAATTAAATCCCAAAGGAAAAAAAAATGAACAGAGAGAAAAGAAGCTAGATAACATTTTTTTAAAAAAAGGTGAATTAAGAAGATAAAAGACCAAAACACGAATTATACCCCCAAGTTGATCACTGATGAATCTATTCCAACGAGAATAGTTTTCTCCCTATAATAGATATTTTCCTCCTTTGAGGAAAATTATTCTTTCTCCAACGGGCATTTAACAGAATAACAGAGCTGGAAGGGACCTTGGAGGTCTTCTAGTCCAACCCCTTGCTCGAGCAGGAGATACCATTTCAGACCAAAGGTTATCCAGTCTCTTATTAAGAGATTTACCTGGAACTAAGAAATCTCCTGATAGTGAGAACAGTGAACCAGTGGAACAACTTGCCTCCAGAAGTTGTGAATGCTCCAAAACAAGTTTTTAAAAAAAGATTGGACAACCATTTATCTGAGATGGTGTAGGGTTTCTTGCCTAACAGGGGATTAGACTAGAAGACCTCCAAGGTACCTTCTACCTCTGTACTCCTATTCCATCTGTTCCACTGATGGTCCTCACTGTCAGAAAATTCCTCCTTAATTCCAAGTTGCTTCTCTCCTTGGTTATGACTGTAACGTTGTTGCTTTTTTTGTACGATTTATATTGACTGCTTCCTAGTATGATTTGATTGTTTATTTGTACTCCATGGCTATCATTGTGTTGGACCGTGTGGTTCTTGATGAATGTATCTTTTCTTTTTATGTACACTAAGAGCATAGGCACCAAGACAAATTCCTGGTGTGTCTAATCACACTTGGACAATAAATAATCCATTCATTCAATTCATTCGTTCGTTCGTTCGTTCGTTCGTTCATTGATCAGTTTCCATCCATGGCTTCTTGTCCTGCCTTCAGGTGCTCTGGAGAATAGGTGGACACCCTCCTTTTTATATAGATTTATCAATTGATTCCGTGGCAAATCCATAGAATAAATCTCATATTCTGCGGCATTCCTAAGCTTGGATACAGACGTTTCATTACCAATTCAGGTAACATCGTCAGTGATCCTGGCAAGCCGAATTCCGTCTACACAGAGAGAGGGAGGCGACAGCGGCAAAGGCCAGAGATCTTTGGTAGCCAAACACGTTTTGCAAGAATAATTTTGGGCAGGGGGATGGATCTCCCTGCAGATAAAGGATCTGACAGCTACACGAGATCCTTGGCTCAGGTTTTAGGATGTTTTTTGTTTTTCCCCGGCATCTAAATCAGAGCACTGCAATTAGCATCTGCCTTTAAAAAAAATAAGTGTTGCAATTAATGATCTCATTTACGAGAGATTGGCTGTGCACCATTCCCAAACCGATGGGAGACTAGAGAGCAGTAAAAACGACGGAGCTGAATGAATCGGCCGTCCAGCTTGGGCGCAGCTTCGCGGCTCGCAGAGTTTTGCAGTCCGTGCGCTGCTTCCACCCTGGGGACTGATTGGGAGCCATCGTTCTCCCCCCGCCCCCCCCAAGCACCAACCTGTGTGACGGTACGGCAGATCTTGAGTGCTTTCTCGAGAGCTGGCTCTTCCAGGTGGCGCTCGGCTTCGTCTTCAGAGATGCGGGAGTCATCAGCATGAAGGTCCACCACGGCTTCCTGGCCTCCCGGTGGCGGCTTAATCTCTGGGATCAGGCTCTGGGAGAGGAGGAAGGAGAAAAACACATCAAGGTCTGATCTTGGCTGTCCCTGAGTCAACTTTTGTCACGGCTAGCTGGTCACCTTGAGGGACTCGGTGGTGATGCTGATTGAAGGTTTCTTCTGGGTCGTGGCGGTGCTGGCGCCCCAGCGCCGTTTGCGGCCCGCTGGCTGGCTTCCTTCAGTGTCGCTGTTCGTGGTAACGGGCCCTTTGGCCACGGAGGATGCTAAAAGCGAGGGAGGGAGGAAAGGAGTTAAAAACCGGAGCAGTTTCCCCAGAACACGGTTGAGACAGCTTTGCTCTTGAGGTGGCTTCTATGAGCGAGTCAGTTCACGTCCTGCTTTCCCTAACCCTCATGTCTTTTTCTGCATGATCTGACAATACAGGTAGTCCTCAACTTGCAACCACAGTGGAGCCCAAAATTTTCTGCAGCTAAGTGAGACAATGGAGTTTTGCTTCATTTTACGCCCTTCCTTGACACAATTGGGATAGCTTGGTTTGTAGGCTGGCTCGAGTAAGCGACCCAGTTCACACCCACCCGTTTTCCCTAAGCCGCAATTCCATTTCTGCATGATCCACATTCCCACTTCTGCATGCCAGTACACATAGTCCGCAACTTATGACCACAACTGTGCCCAAAATTTCTGTTGCTATAAGTGAGGCAACAGAGTTTTGCTCCATTTTACGACCTTTCTCGCTACAACCATTAAGTGAATCTGGCTTCCCCCATTGACTTTATTAGTCAGGTCACAAACAGGGGGTCACATGACCCCAGGACGCTGTGACTGTCATAAATATGAACCGGTGGCCAAGTGCCAAGTATTGAGGCTGCTGCAACAACCGTGTGAAAAATGGTTGTCAGAAAAATGGTCATGTGTCACTTTTTTTGAATGCTGCTGTAACTTCAAATAGTTACTAAATGAATGGTTGTAAGCTTAGGGATATATATTGGGATAAAAAAGAATCTAGCTCAGTTTTTTTCAACCTCCGTCTCTTTAAGATGGGTGGACTTCAACTCCCAGAATTCCCCAGCCAGCATAGCATAGAATTCTGGGAGTTGAAGTCTGTCCATCTTAAAGGGGCAGAGGTTGAGAAACACTTGAGCTAGCCCTTTCCTGGTAAAATCCCAGCTGCCTTCACTACTACAGGCATTAAATGAACTATGTTCCTGCTACCCCAATGCTACATATAGTAAGCTGGCCGAAGCATTTGGTGCCAAGGATAACACCACTGAAAAAATAAAAATATTTTACCAGGTGTATATTTTAAAACTAAATAAATATGCATCCCATCAAACGCATTCAGGGAATTCTGGAATTACAACCATCACTGAGTCCAGAATTAAGTCTTAAGTTGCCATAAAAAGCAAGTCTCTGTGTGATTGTGCCTCTTGTTACGAGCTTTTTATTTTTTATTTTGCAAACGGTTGTTAAAACGAAGCCATTATACCCAACGGGGGAATTTTTTTTTTAGCTGGAGATCGGAAGCACTAGAAACCTGTCAAAAACGGGTCGTGTGACTGCTGGAGGCTACAAACAGGAATAAATGCGAGCTGGTAGCCAAGTGCCCAAAAATGCAGTTTGCAGTTCTTGGAAGAACCAGTTGGATGTAAGGTGTTGGGTAAGGTGTTCACTCTGAAACCAGGAGTTCTAGTCCCACCTTAGGCATGGAAACCAGCTGGATGACTTTGGGCCAATCAGCAGGAGACTGGGAGTTCTAGTGCTGCCTTAGGAGGCATGAAAGCCGGCAGGGTGACTTTGCCCCAGTCCCTTTTCCCCAGCCCGACCCACCTCACAGGGTTATTGTTGTGGAAAAAAACAGGAGGAAGAAGGAGAACCAGGTATGTTCCTCACTTTTTACTTATAAAAGTGGGCTGAAAAATTTTAACGAAGCAAACACCTTCTGGGAAGGTCAGTTGTGACTTCAGCTGGTCATTTGGAGATGAGTCATTAAGTGAGGACTACCTGTATTTCAGTGAATACGATCCCTTGCATTCTGCTCCAGAGAGTGACCTTGTCTCTCCTGGGGAATGTCCACCCTTCCTCCATCCCAGCAGCCAAGCAGAGGGCATGTGCTCCCCCACTCCTTAAAGCAGGGGTGGGCAATTAATTTCTGTCGGGGGCCCCATGGAAAATCAGATCTGCGTTCGAGGGCCGAACCAATTTTATAAAA